TTATCATTAATATATATAGGCAGCAAATAAAACAGAAGGCATAACCAGCATAAAAAGCCAAGAGCAGTCTTATCTATTGCATTGCAAATATGACCCTGGGCTTATCACCCCACCAATGGGGTGGGCAATTTATTACTACTGAATCTGTCAAGTGGGCTTTGAGCTCTATTCTTCTACTTCTGAAGTTTCTTTCACTGAAACAACATGGCATCTACAACTGACATGGGTTGTGCTTCAGCATTCACATGGATAGGATGCCAAATAAAAGGACCAAAATTGAAACTGGTTTGTCCATTTAAAGGATGCATTACTTACAAGACTTGGTCTACTTTTGCTTTCCCCTCCTCCTTACGTCCAATGATAACAGCAGCTCAGGAACTCATACCAAGTTTTGGCCTTTACAAGACAGCACTTAAAAAATCAGTCATCAATAACGTTTAATACCTAGCTGGTTGGGATAGAAGTAAAGTCAAGTCAACCTATGTGTTTCCTCCACTGCACAGGTATTTGCTGATAAAACATCTATATTGTGTTGAACTTTAAACTATAGACTAATTAAACACCACATTTTAAGAGAGTAAACTAGAATCAATAACTCCCTAATCAAGATTTAGTAAATCAGGTTAACACTTATCTGAAAAATATTCTAGCAAAGAGTTTGCATAGACTGTATTTGACAAAGGGACAATACCTACTTGCTTGCATAGCAATTAAATATGCTGTGGCTGTTGAATAAATAATTTAACCCAGAACACAATAGCAAGCCTTTTTCCTGCACAAATACTTCAGTGCTAGGAAAGACATTAATACATCTTGCATTCACTGCTGGATAAAGAGCAAAAGAAGGAGGAAGCTCCTGAAACTAAAGGCAATTGGCAAAGGACAGCTTTCAAATAAAAATAGGGAAAAAGTACAAAACAGTTAACCTAGCACAAGAAACGATGATTGCATACATTCTACTCCCCACTTCATTTTAAGCCCATTTGTTTTAACACAGGACTAAATACACAACAGTGAAGTATCTTCTTAAATTCTGTATGTAAGCCTCTGAAGAGGACAGAAAAAAGCATCTGCCAAAACAGCACTTGAGGAGTACTATCACACTTGAAGCACCTCTCAGCAGGATATAGGTCATGATCTCTGGAGACAGACACTTTGGAATTTTTGTTTTGTCAAGTTAAACCTAACTTCTCCATTGTACATATGACAAGATAACATCAAGCTGCAGTGTGCCATTTAGCAGGCTGGAATAAAGAGACTTCTCTTCCTGCCCACAGGACCTGCTTCATTAGCTTTGTGAAATTAAAGACAGGGCATTTCGGCCAGATCTTCCAACTCCAGATTTTGTTTCTATTTATACATTACTGACTAATAATCAGGAGCTACAGAAGTTTCTTACATGAGATCAAATATATTAACTAAAAGAACTGCTCCCTTGACCTCCCAAAAATACCTTGTGCTAGCACTGTTCTTCCACTGCTGTGCAGCAGCATTGATGGCAGTGTTCAGCAGTCTACGCTCACAATCGGCACTGGTGCAAGTCAGATGGTATGTATTTATTAGCAGCCATAAACCCAGACAGACTGTCTGCATCAGGGACTTTAGGACACCCAGAGGGTTAGAACCAGAAACTCGAATTATCCATCTATGCCAGGTACAAATATGTCTCATTACAAATATGTCTCCTCACTGAGGAAGAACAGAAGCCTACCCATTCTGCAGAGCACTTATCAGAAATAGTTACCAGGCTCCTTCTCTCTCAGAACTGTTCTAAGTACAGTGACCTGAGTTTAAGAGTCTAGTTATAAACAACATTTCACAGTAAGACTATGCTCCTTGATGCATGTGTAACATCGTACGCCTGCTACATGCAAAACTCTGTCCTGCAATGAGGAAATGAGTGGAAAGGGAAAATATTTTAATAAGTTCTCTACTCACTGAGTCATGCACATAAAAGGCAAACAGAAGTTATCACAACAGTCGTCATAAAATACTATCAAAAGCAAATATAATGCACCTACCATTTTAAACATAATGGAACAGAGTTAACAGAGCCTTAAGTTGGAAGCATAGACCAAGAGACGATCTCTCACTCCTCTCTTACCTAATATTACTGTTAAACAGATCTGTTGACACATTCATCTGGAACAGCTTTAAAGATTTAAAGGTGAACTTGAAGGCTTGTGTTGACTGTCAAGATTCACTCATCCTTCTAGGTTAAACTGTGTATTTGCATCTGTGAAATCCGTATTTGGAAAAGTAATCACAGCATCCCCTTACATATAAAGTATCAGTAGATGACAAACAGAACACATCCTCTGCCTGTGGCAGAAGAGCTGTTTGTTTCATTTACCATCAATTCATTCTTACGCCATTTTAATCTGCACACAAGTATTTTAGATTATGAAATACTGTGTTGCTCTATATAGGGTACAGTCCACAGCTTAATGATCTCAAATTATGCTGCTTTAACCACAGCACTGCACCAGAAGGTAATCATGAGATTATCCAAACCAAGACATGCAGACAGATATTGACAAGGAAAGATCTGAGCTTTGCTGCCAGGGGACAGCAGCACCAGCATAACTGATACGGAGGTTGAAGCCTCAAAGTAACATTTAAGAGCTCAGAAGTCCCATTCTCCATCCCTTTCCACTTATACTTTGATTTGTCTGACTAGCTGGTCTATTCATAACAAGGACTACTGAACAGAACACATTCTTGAAATACAAGTAATTCATAAGCTTCAGCCCTAGCAGAATAGCTATCACATTCTACATCAGCCCAATACACATGGATTTCTGCATAATTGATCATTTTATTGGAATCTGTTAAAAGGTGTTTGTTCAGATCACCTGTT